AAAAAATATTTTTTATTATATAATTAAGATAAAAAAATTATTTCTTTTTTTTGGTAAATAAAAAATTATTTCTTTAAAACCACTAAGTCAACTACATTTAATGAAAGAAGTAATCCTACACCCCATTTTGACAATTATTCTAATTGCTTCGTATGCAATGTTTGCGTGTGGAGCTCTCGTCTTCAAGACTTCATTGATAAGTAAAGTAAAAATAATAACAAAAATGATAAAAAAAAAATCGTAAACTCAATTTTATATCTAACCTTATTAAATATAAAATCTCTTGAACTGATTATAAAAAAGATGAATCTATAATAATTATAAATAAATTCTCTACTAGTAAATTTATTTTAAAAATATAAGAATAATTTTTATAGTCTTGTAAAAATATATATTTTTAAAGAGATTTAGAAAAATCAACATGCAAACATTTTGACAGTTTAATTGCCTATGAATAATAATAAAAAGATATAAACTCTTAATACTATCAATATACAAAAATTTATTAAAATATTTAAATAATTTTATAAAGGAATTTATATTTTATGGATGAGACTGCAAATTAAGAGTGTATTTTGATTACTAAAATTATTATATGATCACTAATGAAATAATATACTAAGATATAAATTCATTAAAAGTATTTTAATAAATGTATAAGTTGAATTACATTTTTAATATGTAATTGTACTCTAATGTACAAAATACTCTTTCTTTTTACAAATAATTTTAACATTTTAAATGTTAATACATTACATACTTTTTTTAATTAAGGTAAATTAAGATGTTTTAATAGTTAAAATATAAAAAATGATTATAAAAAATAAAATATATTTAATAAATAAAAAAATTAAAAATATTTAAATAATTTTTTAAAAAAAATTTTAACATTTAAAATATCATGAAGTTATGATTTTTACTTTTATCTCTTTTGTTTTTTTTCTTTCTTTCCTCATTTCTAAATATACATTCTAAAATTGATTTTTTTCATTTTTAAATCAGGTACACTACACCGAAAAGCATAAACCTCACAAACCCCACAAAAAGAACACAAAGTTCACTTAATTTCGCAGATAGTTCCGGCTCTCGATTCTTTGATTTCTTCGGCTTCCTTCTTTCATTGACCACACCATGGTTTACATAACATCGTGGGACGAGTTCGTCGATCGATCCGTACAGTTGTTCCGCGCCGATCCTGAATCGGTATGCATGTTTCTCTCTACTGTTTGGTTGCCCAGAAACTTAATTGGAAAGCAACTGGATTAGAGTCTTCGATTTCCTTTTCTGCCTCTTTACGTTCCAGGGGCAAAATAAATCAAAACACATTGTACTATTGCAATTTCTTTTGCGGTTCCGAAATTCTATTGTTCAATTTGATAGTAACCCTAAGATTTCTGAGTTATAGTTTTTCTTTCCTTTTTTTCCCCAAGAAATTAAAAGAGCTGCATAGTATTTTGCTTAGAGTAGTAGTAAAATTGTTATTTGTTTTTATAATTTTACTGAATTTTTTGTTTAATTCCTTTTTTCTGGATTTGGATCGCGGACTTAGACGCGATATTGTATGAAGTACAGACAATGTGATGGCAAATTGGTTCTCAAGGTCACCGATAATAAAGAGGTATGGATTAAGTTTCGTTGTGGGTTTTGATTGTTGATGTTGTTTTGTAATCAAGATGGTGTACTGTAGATGCAAGTGAAAATGGTGAAATTACGTACAGTTTTGAACTGAAAATCATGTATGAAATTCAAGACTGTGATGTAGTTTTGCTTGCGTCTTTAGGTCATGAAGTGACAATAAAAATTTTACCAATACTAGACCAAAATGTGGGAGAAGATTTCAACCCTTTAAAGTGCCTCTTTGATTTGAGTGGTTCTTGTTGGGTGGGGTGTCCTTGACAACATAGTGATGTTAGTCTTTGCTAGTGAGGCTGGGATTGGTGTGTATATACGCGTAATGGCGTAATGTTAGCCTTTGTCACTTGTCAGTGACACTAGAATTAGTGATTTTATGCATAAAAGTGTAGCTTGAGATACACTAACTCAAATTTGTCTATTTATGGATGGTTTCTGAACTTTTTCTTTGTTTTCTTCAGAGAAGATGTCTTTTGGAAGATTACTTTCTTCTATTTTAGTGGCTAGGTTATCCTAAAGTATATTATCTCTTAATAGGGGCAGTTCTTAGGTTGAGATTCCATGCTTCCGTTCGGAAGAAAGAAATCCTATGGTGAATGAGTGTAGCATTTTAGCTTCTTTTTTTTTTTTTTTGGGCCAGGGGGGGTGGTGGGAAGCTGATCAATGCAACACTCAAAGGCATTTCTTGGGTTGTGGAGGAAATTTAATGACATTGTAGCATGAGATGGAAAATGGGAAAGCTTTGATTAATAGACAATGTTCAAGTTGTGTTGTGTATCTGATCTTCATCACCTCTTGGAGACGTTGCATAACATCTTGATCTTCTTCTAGTTCTATGCTTATTATCTACCAGACTTTATGGTACAATTGTGAAAGGGATCATTACTTTGACCACCAGAATCAGAGGAAAAAATTATTGGAACTGCTCTGTTCTATAATAAAATTTCTATTAGTGCTAATATTTATGAAAAGTCTAGCTAGTTCCTGGCAATTGAATGTTAACTGAGTTTGTAAACCTCTTATAACATTAAGAAATTAAAATTTCTTGCATTATTTCAAAACAAATTGAGGGAAGCATTTCAAATGGACTAGTGAAGTGATGAAAAATTTCCTGATTGTTGCATTCAGTAGATTCAGTCACTTTTTTACTATCATGTATAAAATTGAAATTTTTTCTTAGTATAGCATTGACAGGACAAGAGCTATTCCATTGATATATAGCTTATTTTCTTTCTTAAGTTGTTTCATATGTGATGTATGTTATCTTTTTGTTAGTTTTACCAAACCATTCAGCTTCTGCTTTGCAAGTTGGTGGTTCTATTTCTTTCTAGTCTAGTAATCTATTTTTCCTTTTATATTTCACCCAACAGAACAGTGTAAAACTATATAACATGCCTTGTGCATGCTGTGCTGATCAGCTCCTGTGAAACTCATCAATTGGTTATGTTGTTGCTTTGATTCCCAAGTATTGAGCATATATCAGTGGGCACTTTGTATTAGAAGTTCTTTTACAGCTTTTATAAGTTTGGAAAAGATCAGGGAAGGATCTGATAATGGTTGGGGTTGTTCATACATAATTACTAAAGTTAGTATGCTTCCAAGAATATTGATTGTTATTCTTAGTCATCCTGGTTCAATGAGCCTCTCAGCTTATGCCTTTTTAGTCTGATATCCACAGGCTTTAACTCTTGGTGTTCATTTTTTGTGCATGTGCTTTCTATTGAGAGATTTTTACTCTCAGTAACGGTCCTTTTACTAGTTAAGAGAAAATTTGCTCATGTGATGAGTTCTGTTTTTTTTTTTTTTTTTTTTTTTTTTTCTCATACCAGTGTCTTAAGTTCAAGACAGATCAAGCACAAGATGCTAAGAAGATGGAGAAACTGAATAATATCTTCTTCGCCTTGATGGCTCGGGGACCTGATGGTATTGTCTTTTACCTCCTTCGCCCTTTGATGAATCTATACATCTGCTTTTGGGATGGTTGCCAAAACTAAAAACTAAAACATACAATTCCCAAAAAACCAAGTAGCATTCAAATCAAAGCGCATCCTGGTCAAATAAGACCTGATGAGAATACCAACAAAGAAAATAATTAGATTTTTGTTTTACTTGGTATCTCTTTTACAGATTTTCAGATTCCTAACATGTTAATCTCTCTTCTAAATGTTTTCCAGTGGTACAAAAATGACATGTAATCTATAAACTTATTGCTCACATGACCAATTTTGTTTTGTCTTGTTAGTGTATATGTTTGTTGACTTCTTATTTGAACCTTGATTTGTGACTTACAAATTTCACTCCTTCTGCAGCGGATGCGTCAGAAGTTACAGGGAAAGAACAGATGGAAACACAGCCACCAAAGAAGGGAAGGGGAAGGAAACAATAACTTGTAAGCTTGTAAACTGATAGGTGTTTGGTCAAATTTTAGACTCATCAACACGCAAAAGAATTTTTTGCAACTAAGAAATGCCTGGTGGTTTAACTTCTGAAAATATTCAGGTTTCCAAAATTTTCATGGCAATAGGAAGATGAAATTCTCTTATGTTCCTGACTTTCTGGATTTGCTTGGATACAAATTTTGCTAGTTCATGTTGGTTGGCGTGCATTTCTCTTTCTGTTTTTTCCCTTGAATAGGGTTGTGACCCCTCAGTCCATGTTTGACCACTTTTTAAAATAAGTGTGGCGTGGACCATCTCTTGCCTAAGCTCGCCTTTGGCAGGCGAATTATTGTTATCAGAGAATTTCACACCATTATCTATTCTAATTTTGTCCCTTAGTATTTTGGCCGTAGCAATCCTAATATCAACATACAACACATCCTAGTACCCTATAATCGAACTTCTAGACTGAATGTATAGTCAATTTTAGGCAGTTTTGCCTTCTCTGCTCACCTATGTCAACTTGCCTGAGTTGTTTTGTTGATCTGCCTTAAAATGTGAAACATGATGCTCCCATTACATGCATGCGTTGCCTTTCTAATTACTGACGCTGGCATGAAGGTCTTCTGATTCAGATGCAGAGACTGGTGGTAACGTATCTGACATAATGTCTTCTGCCAATGAAGTTTTGAGGTCTAAATAAAATAGGCAAAACCCCACGTTAAGCCCGTAGACTAATCTCATATTCTCAATTGAGCCCCTAAACTTTTTTTTTTTTTAAAGTAGACAAGCTCTTAAACCCCACGATCTATGCAATTCTGCCTTATTCCATGTCTTTTTTTGTCTTCAACTTTACGCTCTACCATTAAAAAGGGGGCAAATTTTCATAGATCATAGGGTGTAGAGGCTTATATGCCTTCAAAAATGTCCAAGGGCTCGATGAAAAACATGTGGTCAATTTATTGGATTAACATGAGGTTTTGCCAATAAAATAATACGTAAATGGTTAGGTCTCATTCTCAATCACTTGAAGCAGGCTGAATTGGCATGCAAGTTCGTTTATGGTAATGTGTCAAATTATTAGTAGATAAAGAAAAAATTACATGATATTCTAATTTCATTGGAAAATTTCTCCTGAAACTGGTATGTTTCTCTTTTTGTTAGATAAAATAATTGAAAGAGTGTGAAGTTTGGAATTTGCAACATAAGTCATCAAATGAGGGCCCCTTTGAATTACAAGGTGGATTTACTTACTTCATAGTTGGTGTTTTTTGCGGTTCAAATTCTACAATACTGCAAATTCCATTTTGCTGACTTTGATTTGGAAGACTTTCAGATTAGAAATTTCAACTCAGACGGTAAGGCTGCCAATAAACCATAATTTTGATTTGGTTAAGGTTCTAATCAAAGTCTCATTCTTCCCAAGATAAACAAACACAACATTACACGAGCCTATTCACATCCCCAAAAAGCTTTTTTGCTCTACATAACCCTTGCGGCACCGGCATGTTCATTATAGGAGCAATAAGAATCTGAATTCTGTAGAGCCTGAACAAAGAATAGTACTAATACTCTAATACTTGCAATCATAATCATGCCTTGGTGCTCCTCTTTCCTCAATCCCAATGCAGTTGTCTAGTCTCACTTTCCCTTACTTTTGCTCGCAAAAAGCATTATTTCATATCCTTAACCCATGTGCCATGTAAAGGCCGGTGAAATTTCACCTCTTTCTTTACCCCTCTCTACTATAGGATTGGCATTAGAAATTAAAAGGAAAAAGGGAAAAAAGGAAAGCAAAATGAAAGATGGTAGAAGATATTCTTTAATTAGTTCAAGGGACAGTTGGATGGAATGTTGTTTTTGGGGTATAAGCTCAGACAATGTGCATAATGTCTTTATTAACAAAGAGCATATCTTGCATGATGGTAGGTGGGGCTACAAGGAATTAAGTTCTTTAATTTATTGCATCAAGTGATATCATGATCACTAGTCATTTTCCTTCTTATAAGCATGATTAATTACTAGTTAGTTTACACATATTAAATTAAATATAATTTTTTGTTGTATTTTTGTTAATATTAAATAGTTCATAAAAATTTACTTTTTCATAATAAAATTTCGAGATTAAACACTTAAAAATATAATTTTTTATTTTATTTATGTTGGAATTAAATAATTCATAAAAATCATTTTCTCATGGTAAGATCTTGATGGTTAAGCATCTACAGAATCAAACACTTCTATTCTCTTTTAAATGGAGATTTTATTCCCTCACTTAGTCACTGACACTCACCTCTCAACATGTGGGGACTGATGGTAGTTGTCCTGCTTCATTCCTTGATCCTTAATCCGAGGGAAAAAAAGAAAAGAAAGAACAACCATATTTAAAAGTATTAAGAAAAAATAAATTTCTCATAAAAACCCAGATTTGGATGAAGATTTGATTGGTTGGGTTGATAAAGAAAAGGTGACAAATTCATGCAATGGAGCACAAAAAGGTGTATATATATATAAAAAGAAGACAAGATAAGCTAAGGTTGTAAGATCATGTGTTAAAAATGATTAAAGATATGCTACTTTCTTTTATTTCATGGGGGGAAAAGTGCTTCTTTTCTTGAGATAAAGGTGTAACAAAGCTAGAATTTGTACTCCGCAAAGTAGAAATTCTCTACAGTATTAATTCCTGAATTTACCCTGCAGTTTTCATGCTTTTGGTGCTTTAATATTTGCTTATCACAATATGCTTTTATTCTTGTTTTCTTTTCTCTTTCCTTTTTAGCAGTAGTAAGAAAATACTCTTCTACCAAAAAAAAAAAAGTAAGAAAATACTCGGCATTACCCCTTACAGAATGTTTATCGTTTTTTTTAACATGCACATTAATTGAGCAATAACAATTAGTTTCTAAGTCATTTAAATGTTTTTTTCCTAATTTTACTTTTTTTAAAGAGAAATCATTCATAGCAGGTTGAATGTCTCAGTGACACATCAGGTTACATATAAGTGTATTTATTTTTTTTGAAAATAATGACTCAAATCTTACTTTTTGTAAATTTGTTAAAAAAAAAAAAAGGGAAGAAATCATTCAGAAATTAAGTATTGTACTACATAATAATCTTTTTACGCAACCTGCTTTTGCAGTCAAATTAAGAAAGTATAGTTTTCTGAGGACTATTAGTCTATAAATGTAATT